TTTTTTTCTTTCTACACTGACAATATGAAGTGTCAAATAAGTGTGTGCTCATACTTATGTACTATTGGAATAAAAATAGAGTACACAAACGTTTGTGTGTGCGTGTACACATACGTTTGTGTGTGTGGGTGTGTGTGTGCTTACATCTGAGATCAAATTTGCTACAGTGAAAAACCCCCTGTTGTGAAAAAATTCTTGCTGCAAACATGATTTCGTTGTAGAGGAGTTTCACTGTAGTTAAGTCGGAACAAGTCTACAAGTTAGAAGTCACGCTTTTGCTGAACTTCATTTATGAGATAATGCCATTTCCTTCGCCATTTATTTGCTTTTGTGTACTATCGCAGAGTCTACTTCTTGATCACGCATTGATTTGCGAGCTAAGAGCTAATCAGAGTGATCAATTGTCACCAACGGCCGACTGCCATTTTGCACACCCCGATTGATGGTCAACTCATTCGAATCTGTTTGCTTGTGATGGTTGGAAAGTTATTATTTTGATTGATGTTGACTGTAATACACTTAATACAGATTCTTTCGTAGTTTTCACTCGGATCAATTGTACATTTATTCTTTAAATATCCCACTGATATAAAACCTTGTGGCAGAATATCACAGGGTTGAAGAAAGCTGCATCCGTGTGAAAAAGGCAGAAAAATCACATCTGAAAATTTTCACATAGGTGTGGCGGTGGCCAGATATGGGGGGACCATGGCCACCCCTGGGCACCATGTAGCTCCACCCCTGCATCCAATCACTTTTCTCCTTTGAAATTTATTGAAATGCCTATTTTTGTTTTGTTGGCGTTTTATTAAAAAATAATAGCACCACATTTTAAAATATAAATATAGAGCATAACTTTAGTAGATAAAATAATGTATCGAAATAAGAGGGCGTGGCCTGATGAATGACAACAGGAGTTGCAGTCACAAGTTTTCATCCACTGGTAGTTTTTACTTGTGTCTTTGACTGGTTTTGCCTCACAATAAACATCAAAAAGCACATCTGCATTTTTTTTTCCAGTTCACTCAAGCGTCATCATGTCAGAAGCTCACTTGGAAGTCAAATTTCAGCTGGCGACACAAAGCAAAATATTGAACTTGAAAAGTGGGCCACTTGTAAATCAAGGTACAAAATGGAAAAGTGTAGAAAGTCATTAGAAATATAAAGTGTGCAATAGTGCAGTAGTACTGCTGAAATTGAATTGTAATGATGCAGAGTGACAAAGCTGCGATTAATGCCGTAATAATGACAAAATAGAGATATGCAAATTGACAAACGTGCTACTATGGAAAGTCAAGTCAACTGTTTAAGAAGTTAATTAAAGAAAGAACAAGAAAGATGGTGATGAGTGGGTTGATGGAGGGCAAAACGCATGGATGAAAGATTGGGGACAAACAAGTCGATGTGTGGAAAAACTAATGGAAGATGAAATGGCTGGAGGAGTATAAAGGAATCAATGAATTATTACGAGTAAAAATATTTTACATTCTTCATTACTGTATGTATTTTTTTCCTCTCCTAAAAAAGAGCAATTACCTCATTAAATTACAAAAATTACATTTCCTTCCACAGTAAAACCCCTGTGGGTCTCTTTCCGGCATAGATGATAGGGAAATTATTCATTTATATATAAATATATATTTATATATTCTGAAAAATGTTTCACATATGACACATTTATGTAGAAACATTTTTGTCTTGAAGAATTAGTGGAAGATTCTAAATTAAATCCACGTTTTACTTTCCCCATTTGACTTTATGGCAGACTATCGCCATTTTTATGAATACCGTACATACTGAAGCAGCCCGGCAGGTTATGATGAAAATATGATTTATAACTCACAGAAGCCTGATTCTTCGAGTTTTTCATAGAAAGTGCCAACACTGTGGTTGGGAGCCAAAAGGGTTAACTGCTTCCGGCTTCTACTTGCGATGAAAAGTGAAAACTCAGCATCGAAAAACAACGGGATATTTGCTTGCCGGATCAGGATTAATTTCTCGACTCAGAATGTCAGAACCTCTTAAACTTTCGTTTTCAGGCAGCAGAGACAAACTTTCCTAAATCCTACAAACTTTCTCATGAGACACCCTCTCAAAAATGGCTCGTGGACAAGTAGTAAAAAATTGGAGGGTCGGTCAGGAACAACACACAATAAACTCGTTTGGACCGTGGCATATGATAACGTCACGTAGCACAAGAAGGCACGTGACATGCAATTATTTACAATAATTATGATTTAACCACTGTTGCCACCTTGAAAAAGTAATGAATTAATAATCACTTGACTTTAAAAGTAACGTAGTTAGGTTACGAGTTTATTTGATTTGAAAATTATTAAGTTACTTCAGATAAAGGTTTTCTTATCTTATCTTATAAATTCAACAGATAGAGCCAACATAAAAATGCCAATGTTGCCTTGCAAACTGCGATGTGAAACCGCTTATTTCAAGACTTGGGTCTTCGCACGGTAAACGTACCGACCGAATTTCATGTTGCCAAGAGAAACTGCTTTCAGCGGCTAAATTTTCATCTACATCGTCAAAACGACCTGAGAATAGTCACGCCAAACCAAGACGGTTTATTTCCTGTGTTTTATCGACCATGGGATATTGAGACTTTTTTTTTTTGCCCTGGACACCAGTTGGAGTGTGGGCGAATTCCAAATTACTTTGTCAAACAAGTGATTTCACCAAATGATCCTGAATCAGAAGTAGGTATCCAAGACAGGTGGTTCAACACTAAATTGCCGGAGTTTTTACTGATGCCATCTACTGTGGGTGGAGCATCATGCCAAAATTTGATGATGCTTTTGAGGAATCGCCTTAAAAAAAATACAACGATGGTTATTTATTTACCAAGGTCGAACCACCGAATTGCCTCGTTACGACAGCAGACGTTGACAGGCTGTCTGAGAGACAAGACAAGATGCCTTTGAGGACATTTGGAGTGCGGCTAATTAATTGTAATAAGCTTTGGCCGCCGCATGCGCTGGCAAGGAGGTGTGAGGCTCGGAGCTCGGGCTTCCACCCACAACCCCCCCCCTCCCTACCCCTTGCGCCGAAGCCTCGACGACAGCGTGCAATCCAGCGGGTTGACGCGCTCTGGCACTGGACGGTGGGCACATCTGCTCTGATTAATCACCTGCTTCGCCTCGCGCATACATTTCATTATCGGCTTTAAGTGGGCGAAAACAACGAGGCTTTGAGGCGAACGAGCTGTGACGAGAGGGAAGATGAAAGGTGGCAGAAATGAGAGTCATTTATCAGGTGTGTGTAAAAAGAAATAATAGATTTCTGATGTCCCTCCTCGTTTTCCTGGGGAACGGTGTTTGACCTCTGTTGGCAAAAACGTGTAATGGCTCACAATTATATGCCAGCTCTGTCACAACACATCTTTGTCTATGTTGCGATAAATGTATTAGTTGATCTTGATGCTTTTTGTTTACACATTGTTCCCAGTGGCCATTTTCAAGTCACTGTGGGCAAAATGGGACATTAGAGACAGACCGTGGATGACAGGTTTTCAAATCTTCCCAAAATGTAACTGTGGGTGGAGAATCTATTTCGCAAGAGTAAAACAGGGTGAAAGCAACAAAACTTTACAGTACATAAGCGGAACGAACCTTGGAGGCCAGCCAAAGTGGGACAGGAAGGATTATGTCATTCCTGGCATCAGGGGCGTCACTAGGTTTCAAGAATAAGGGGGGCTTAGCCCCAAGGGGAACACAGCCCCTTTAGGGGGGTCCGGGGGCATGCCCCCCCGGGAGAAATTTTTTCTACATTCTGGTAAAAATCCATCAATTCCGTGCACTTTGAGAGCAAAATGAAGAGGCTATGAAGAACTACACACATCACATTAGTATCCTCTTTACTATGATGGGGCTTCCTCCCCTGGACTTTAACTAGACTAGATAATAGAAATTATAAAGAGTTCAAAAGTTCAATCTTGGTTATTCAAGGGAATTAGAAGGATGCCCGATAACATAACCTATATGACAGTAGGCCTATATTCCTCTCTACCAAAATGTATTAATATGTGCTTAGCCCCCAGAAGACTATGTATTTTGAGATGTCTGCCGTGATATGCAATTTTAGTACAATGAGATGCAAAAGCTTCATCACTTTGGAAAAACACAAGTTTGCTGCTCAATATTCTTACTGTAAGCTCCGATTGCATTTTGGGAACCGCCTTGCAAGTAAAATTAGCCTTGAGATCTGATAGACTCCCCTGTCCAGCAGAGCTCCCCCCCCCGGCTCACTCTCTGTGCGTCTTTAGCCTGATTCCTATCAAATAAATACATTTATTTATTTTATATTTATTTATTTATTTATTTTATATAGGCCAAAATCTCAATAGGTGTTGCCTCAAAGAGTTGGTGTAATGATTATTTATGTATTTAATAATAAAATGTTGCTTAATTTTTATTAAGCACCACCTTAATTTATCCAAAAGTGAACACTTGTTACAGTGCAGTTTCTGCTGTTACTGGAGATATTTTAGCGGACTATAGTCACTAGTTTTACCAGCATGGATGCATTGAATACTTAATTTACCTTTCTAAAAAACTGTCGAATATCCATGCTGTCGACTCAACCTGACTTTCGGCAATGAACTGTCAGTTGTTGCGTTAGCATTTGATGTGGCGATGGTGACAGACACGTCAAATGCTAACGCAACACCTGTTGCGTTCAGGAAACCTGGGAGATTTAACATTTAAATAATGGCAGGTTATCGAAATATAATTTAAAATGGCCACATTACATTGAATTTGATGCAATATATTAGCAAAAGTACAGGAAAAATAAATAATACTTTTTTTAAAATAATGCAATGAAATTATTTAGGGGGGCTAAAGACATTTTTAGGGAGGCTTCAGCCTCCCTAAAATAGGCCTAATGACGCCCATGGCCATGACTAAAACTCAAATCTTTTGCTCTCTTGGATATTTGTATATTCTACAAGGTTCAATTTTGGTAGCAATTGGGAGAAAATCTGGAGAAAGGGGTTGTCTTTGAAGGACCCCTGGAAAAGGGCCTAATTGACAGTAAAATGGGGCTGAATTTTCAAAAGAAATTGCAGGGTTGCTGCCAAGACGATTTTTAGGCATTAGTGGATGCAGCGAGCATTTATTTACTCGAGAGAAGGAAACGTCTCTTAGTCTTGAGGATTAATTGATTTGAAACATTGGCATTGGTGTTGAGTAAAAGCGAGCTTTCAACGAAAAACAAAAGGACGTGTAAACGTTGATATTTCACAGCAGTCTTGAGTGCTTCAACGAACTCAGCAGCGGGGTGGGATAGGTGGCTTTATTGTGGACCCAGGCCAAACAGAATTCTCCTTTGTAGCTTTTACCACGGCACACATCCTTGCTCGTCGAGAACAAAGCTCACTTAGACTTGGAAAATATTAGAAGGACTCAAAGGATCAGCTCCTCAGTATAATATACTGTAAATACTTTATTCAACGTGGAGCTACAGTGCCTCCTGCTGGTAGGATTGGACGACCACACATGTCTCCATCCTTAAAAAAACGATGCTTGTCACGTAGCTCTGATTCAATGATCATAATAACAACAGTAATCGCTTAATGCATATGGCACCTTTTAAAGGAGCCAGGGACGCTAAACAACTGACACTTAACCAACTCTTCAGGATAGTAGCTTTGACTGGCAGCTGCCAGCTTTGAACAGCAATATGTGATGGAAGATTCGAGTCGAATTCCAATAGGCAGGAAAGGCATCGCCAGAAAAAGCAGGGTGGTAAACTCAGTATGGGGGCAGTAGAATATAAAGTTAGACCAACCATGGTGGGGCAGGATGACTCACTAATGGGCATGTTTTTGGACATAGATTAGTGAAGATTTACTTTGTTGTTTAATTTTGCACTCACATTTTATTGTCGATACGGTCCATCCATTTATGCTCGATATCGCTTATCCTTTTGTACAAAACAACCTCAAAAATTTGGTTGTTTTGTAAGTAAGTAGCGTGTCGGTCCTTTTTTGACCCCGATTAGGTAATTTTTTCGAACAGTTAGCAAAAGCCGTTTGATTTCAATACAGATGAGGAGAAGGGTGCAAGAAATTTATTTAGCTTTTTTGCTTTTGTAGTCTACTGTCAATGGGGCCAAGTGAGGCACTGACCCTGATCCAACCCCGAGATTCACTCTTGGTGGGTTGAACATCTTCTGAGCTGGTTGCGAGTGAGGCGTTGCAACTCTGACTTTGCCTTCCCTCTGCAAAGTTAAGTACAGCAAATCATAGCACAGCAACCAAACAGACAGCTGACATCTGACCTGCCTGCGAGCTGACTCCGGGCTTCTATCTGTGTCCCTCCAGACGTGACCGGGCCATGCCCAGCCTGGTCGGGCATGGAGCTGAGAGAGTGCCAGCCAATGTCATGCCAAGGCAGCGCTCCAGCATTCCCGACTAGGTCAGTGCACATTGTCAATGTGGGGCGTGGAGGAGGGCATCTCCTGCCCCCACCCTGGCAGGAAGTGACTCTGTCATGAAGAGGAGACACGTCGCTAATTAGCACTCACCTGAGGATTGTTTAACACTACATCTATTTCATTGCCTGTGGCCTTTTTTGTACCACCAAAAAAAAGTCTACATTGCAATAAAAGGACACAACTCATCATCAGGAAAATTCACATCTGGTCAGGAGGGCCAGGTCTGTCCTGGGCTGCTCCCTGGACACCCTGGAGGAGGTGGGCAACAGGAGGATGCTAGTTCAGCTAACAGCTATGATGGGCAGACCCTCCCACCCCCCTCCAGGCCACCCTGACAGCACTGGGAAGCTCCTTCAGCCAGAGATTGATACACCGCGCTGCAAGGAGAGGTACCGCCGCTCGTTCCTGCCGACTGCTGTCAGGCTATTGAATAGACGGACCTGAAAACCTGGACTCACCACCACTCACCCATTTTTAATATGCTCATATTTATATTTTATATTTATTTATATACTTTTTGTTCTTCTACTTTCTCCCTTTCATGATTTTGCTGCTGTAAATTGCGAATTTCTCCAATGTGAGACAAATCAAGGTTTTCTTATCTTAACAGAAAAGTACAATTGTATTCCTGTTCAGTAGATGTGTCAGTTTCATGAATTAGTTAATTACTTGGTTTGTTGGTTTCATTTTGTGTGTAGTTTCATTGGTTTTGTTTCATTACATGTTGTTAGTTCCGGAACGTAACAGGTGCATTTGGCACGTGGACAAATCATAACTGAGATCTTTTGAGTTGGTTTGTAGTGTGTGTGTGTGTGTGTGTGTGTGTGTGTGTGTGTGTGTGTGTGTGTGTGTGTGTGTGTGTGTGTGTGTGTGTGTGTGTGTGTGCGTGCGTGCATGACGCAATGTTGTGTTTCGTCCAAAGCAGGAATGTCAGCGCTGCCCTCGGGTCTTTCTTTACTTTAGTATGCAAATGAGGCGCTTGGCCTGCTGGAATCACGTGTTGCTGCTTTAAATATTCATGAAGGCCTCAGCTTTATCAATGTTGCTGTGCTGACAGAAATACATACATGCTCACCACACACCTTGTTGGGTGTTTGGGGTGTACACTTCTGTTATACGTAGTGGTGGGATAGCTGTTTAGAACTAGTCATTGCCGACTGAGGGTACGCATGTAAATACAGGATGTGTGGATGTATACGTGATGTGTTATATATTGTATGTAAGTAGTACATAGTGGGTGCAGTATATACTGTACATACAGTATGTGTTTGTGTGTGTATATATATATATATATATATATATATATACACACACACACACACACACACACGCTATTTTTGTGTTTCCACGTGTGTAAAAAAAAAAAAATACACATTTGATGCAATTTTGCTTACTATTAATCATCAACAATCGTATGTTTGTGATCTGTGTGTCTGTCCTGTAAAATGTCTCATCTTTCTCACCGGAAAGAAACGTACTCCGGTGTTGTCCTCTTGTAGTTTAAAAATGTCCTCTTTGGTTGTTCAGGCATCATTTTACAAACGGAATGCTCTTCCAAACGAATGCCGACTGGGCAGATGGATGAGCTGCCAAAAAGCTGCTCAATCAAGATGCCCGGTGTCCAGCTTTGCTCCTCTCAACACAAGAACCCACTCGAGTTGACGCCATTGAAGATGACATCGCAGGCAGGCTCCACTGGCCCAAGACCAGGTGAGGAGGAGACAATCGCGGCTAGCTGGCAACGAGGATGAAAAAGTTTGACAGTCATTGCTTCTGCCGTGCTCGTAATTAATGCCGCAATTTACATATAAATCACAATGAGGACATGTTGTGTGAAAGGGGATAATAGTGTCAATATTTTACATGGATACCGCAAAGTTGCTGCATCAGAGGTATTGCTCTGGCATTCGCCTGTGACTTTCCTGCCATTTTCACATGGATGCAGTTTCATTCGATTCCTTGATCCCCTGCCACAATTCATTTACTCTACGTTGGCTACAAATTTAAAGAGCGAATCATCGTTGATCAGTATGTAGACGCTTACATAATCTGTCATTGATAAAAAAAAAAAAACTAACATAAAACTTTACATTCTTACACTGTCAATTAAAAACATTTAATAACAACCCTAGCATGTGAGTGATATAGCTGAGAAGTCATTCTTTATCATACCACCTACAGTCATGGTTTCAGGAAATAAAATCCATACATTCCTAAAACAAGCAAGAATAAACCTGAGGAAAAACAGCAGCGTTTAGAATTGTGAAGAATTAATACATGTGTCGTTGTGCTTTTTGGATATGATTTTAATTAATATGCCACCAATTGCAGTATGCAAAATGGTGTTGGCCGTCGGTGACAATTGATCACTGTGATTGGCTATCAGCTAGCAAATGCAAATCAGTGCATGCAGTAGAAGCGGACAATGACGTGGTCCACAAAAGCAAAGAAACGGCAAATAAAATGTCATTATGTAGCAAATTAAGCTCAGCAGAATGATTATTTTTGTACTTTGACTTAATCCTGTTTGTATTATGAGTGTCTTGCGCATTTGTTCTGGATAGATGTGCGTTTTATTTCAGGAAACCTTGAATGTGGGTGTATGGTAAACAATGACTTCTCACTAACAAAGGAGAAAATGAACCTACGGGCGTCTAGTTTTAATTTTGTTCCATTTGAGTCACGCATTGATGACGGTTCGTTGGGAGCCTCAGACCTGTTAGTCCAGGATGACATCCGGTGTGGAATTTAGACAAGCTTGTAGCTCATGTAGGACTTGGGTTCCGCTGCTCCAGGCAATGACTCTGGCTTCCAAAGCATCCTTCTTGCCCTGCAGCAGCTTTTCCAGGGCGTATCCTTTCCTCGGCATGACTATATCGCGGCCCCTCAGGCAGGAGGCCGGGCAGAAATCATTGGTGCCGTCACCCACATAGAAGATGCGGCTGTATTCATCTTGTTGAGCTAGGTATTCCTCCAGAACTTTCTTTTTGCACATGTTTACGGGGCAGCGGCGGCAGTCGTGCTCGTGATGGGGACGTACTTCCACGCGGCCCAGTGAGTTGACTCCAGCCGGGTTGGTGAAGACGCGGTCCACGGCCGAACGCAACCCAACGGCACAGAGGATCCATTCGATGAAAAGAGCATTGGCATCCGAGATGACCACGCAATCCACGTCGCTCTTGTTACATGATATGAACGTCAGCAGCTCACTCATTCCCGCCGTCAAGGGGATGCGCTCCATTTCGGCACGGACGCTCTCCACACTCACTTCCTGCTGGCCTGCAGGAAGAAAATACAGTGGAACCTTGATTTAACAAACTCAGATTGAGCTAATTTAATGGACAGAAAATGTTTATTATTAATGTTTATTATTATCTGGGCGTCCTTTATCCTTGTCATTATTATTATTTTTATTATTGCTACGACAATTATATTACTACCTCCACTATCTCAAATACATTAGTCTTCTCATGTGCTATTCTGAGGTTGTAAATGCTCTGACAAAATGGCAAATACAGGAATTAAAGAATACTGCAGTACGATAAAAATAGACTTGTGCAAACATTTTCTATATATATTTACGCCATGTAGTCTACAGCTGAGACGTTCCACAACACACAAGTAGTGGAAATATGTTGGTTGCATTACATCAAAAAATATTACAAACAACCATAAACAAGAGTACTACCTAATGCCTAACAATTACTCAAATATTGTCGTCATAATATTGTCGTACATGCCTATATAATCCATTACTCTGCCCATGAACTCAGTCCAGTGGCCTTTTCTGTAGGAATTCTTCACTGTGTCAGGTAGCGTTTGACCTGGAAGACACCTAAAATATAATATGGGTTTAGACACGTGGCTTCAATAATCCATAATTAATGTAAATCGTCAATATTTACCTGATCACCCACGTGTCACTGTTGTCATCGACCACCGTGTGGTCGAAATCAAACACCATCAGAGTCTTCATTACGTGAAAATGTGCTGAATTTGAAAAAAGAAAAATGAAAGTAAACTCATGACGTTAAACCGGAAGGCATCCGAACACGCCGAATGTAAAACGAGGCCACCGATAATACATTATGTATAGATCCGTTTGTTATTCACAGAACAGATCGAAAATATAGGCAATTAAACTTTAAAAATGAGCTTTCTTTACGTGGACTTTGGTTTCCCATTCATGAATTCAATTTTGTCATGTTTAAGAGTATGCGTAATCGATCATTTTACTGCGCGAAAAAAAAGGATGGTTTTGAGGTTTTTAAGGCCAGAGACGTTGTTGATATGACGATAAAAGACAAACTGACCTATACTGTACTGCGTTTTGTTGTTGTCGTAAACCCTCAATGGACACCTTCGCGTCGTCTCAAGACACGCAACGACTCGTTACCGCCACCTTTCGTAAACTGCAAGATGGTCAGGGTTTAGTGAGCAAATTTACAGAGGCGAATTATTTCACCATTTTGAGCGACTCGTCGACATTTGATTGTTGTAATAAATATAGTAATCTCAGTGAAGGAGAAAATTGCCCACTAATGCAAAACTCACAATGGAAGGTGTCGTATCGTTTTCTCCGTTAGGTAGCAGTACAGTTAGCACCTGATCAATTTAATAAGCGAAGAAGAAATCGGTCAGCGTCTTACTTCCGGGTAGTTTTGAGCCTCCCCGTCGCTTAAAAAAATCAGTTCTAATAAACCAACGAAGAATTGCAACTGGAAATTCGTCCTTTTATTCGACAATGTTGCGAGGTTTAAGGTCTTGGTTGGGTTTAGACAACCCGGCGGACGCCAACACGTTGGCCGACGCAGAGGAAGAGCAGCAGAAGTTGGAGGAAAAAGTGGTGGAAGCTCAAAACGAGGTAAACAAACAGCAAGCAGCAGTTGATGGCCACCATGATGAAGGAGGACAAGATGACGTGGAGGCGAATCAGGAGCTCAATAAAGGACTTGGCGGTCAGTCATTTCATTGATTAGATGATAGATTATAAGTATTATCAAGAAACGGTGTGATTAAATTTGCGGAGGACAATTTTTAGCCAGTAAGGCGAGCCTTGTTTGTTTTCTGGGTGACGTCAGTGGCATTTACAGCCAATGGATTCAAACAAAACAATAACTATGATTATATTGCACTTTTAGAACCGCGTGATACCAAGTAAAAGTTAATCTTGAAATGATGTCACCCACTGTATTTTGTATGTCTCAGCTCCTCTAACAGGTCATTCCAAAGTAATAATGCTCAGTCTTTGGTTTTAAATGGTCAATGAGCTGTCTGTCACTTTCTATAGGGCATTCAACCTTGGGTACTCAAAGTGCTTTACACTGTTAACTCATTCACCTAGTGATGGCGCAGCATCAGGGGTCACTGGGGGTTCAGTATTTGCATACAGACACTTCAACATGCTGGCAATGGCCAGGAATCAAACCACCAACCTCTGGTGTGGGAAACGACCACTCTCTCACTGAGCCATGCCATTAAATTTTAGAACAACCAGAAGGCCCTCCAGTGGATCTGAGGCCACAGGCTGGCTCTTAACGGCATTAAAAGTTCAGTAATATAGCTTGGAACCAGATTCATACATGCTTTAAAAGTGATCAGTAAAGTCTTAAAATCAGTTCTTAAACAGACTGGTAGCAAATTGAATGATGTTTAAATTGGACCGATGTTCACACTACTATGGTACTTTGAGATACAACTGGCCCCCCTTTTTTTTTAATAGATACAAGTGCTAAATGGTTGTCGTGAACGCAGCTCAACTCATGTCACAATATTAGCACTTTGGAAAATACCAATTATTCAAAAATGAGGCTTCAAGCTGTTAAATGCCACTCTCAGTTAAAATTGACTGTCCAAGTAAACACGAAAGAAAGAGAATTACACCTTTTGTATTTAAAACAACCACAACTTAGCCTACAAATCCACTCTCTTCATGCTACAGTATTTCAAATTATCATCTATGTTTCAGTGCTTTCACCCTTCAAGCAGCGGATGGAAAACAAATGGTGAAGCAACATGTACACCAACAAAACAACAATACTCACATTCATATATCCGTCATCACTTACCCTGCGTAATACAATTAATATTAGTGTCGTACTGATTAGCTGAAGGAGGACTTTAGGTGTTATGAATCCCACTTTTGGTCCAGGCAGAACCCGCCTCGCTACAATATGATTGGCTGCTGCACCCACACCCCAAAAAATTAAAACTAAGAGATAATTCCTATTTTTTCCACTACACATATTCATAAACAACCACTCTTCCCTGGCCAGACTTCATCTTCAGTTTCGCATCCAGCGCAACCAAAAAGATCTCAGAGTCCGTGGTAGGGACGGCACAAAGCATTAAGAAGAGTGTCGAGGAAGGAAAGATTGACGGCATCATTGACAAGGTATGCTTACACTCAAATGTTCATTGTTATTATTATTATAAATTTTTTTACCTTTCACCTTTGTGTGCAGACCTTCCTTGGAGACTTTCAGAAGGAGCAAGAGAAATTTGTACAGGAAAAGAAGTCCAAAAGATCGGGTAGAGTAGAGTGTATACGATTTAAAAAAAAAAAATAAAGATGAATATATGATAAAAATAAGAATACAAGTCTTGATCTTACGACGTTATTCACTGGTGCGGTTGTGTGCCCAGAAGCAGCAGTGCCGCCCTGGGCGGGCTACAATGAGGAAGAGACCATCCAGCAACAGATCCTCGCCCTCTCAGCTGTGAGCGATGTTCAATAATTTTTTTTCAAAAGCGGCGATTTGTATTTGATAAATGTGACGACTCCTCTCGCCAGCTACCCGTGACAACTTCCACCTTGCACAATAGAAATAAAAGCAAGGAAAATTCACCACCCACAACAAAGCTACAGTGAAGTGTTTTGTTCCATGTTTAGGACAAGCGTAACTTCCTACGTGACCCCCCGGCTGGCGTGCAGTTCCACTTTGACATGGAGCAAATGTTTCCTTTGGCCGCCGTCATGCTGGAGGAAGACCAGCTGCTCAACCGCATGCGTTTCGACCTGGTGCCCAAATAGTCAGTACCGACTGCGTGTGTGTCCACGTTCCGCGATTCATGAGAATTTCTTTTGATTTGAAGGGAAAAGAGACTTTTTCCCAAGACTTTGACTTTTATTTTTTTTTTCCCGAAACATTTTGAGAATTTGTTTTAGTGACAAGAAAAAAAGTTTTGCATGAAAAAATGTTTACAATTTTCCATGCAGGAATGAAATTATTTGTAATGTTATGAGTCAACTGCTAGTTCTCGAGGAGGAAAGCAAGAATTTTATTTGAATGCTCTTTGAAAACATTTGCAAAGAAGAAAACACATTTTCACAAGAATTATTATGAACTTGACAAAAACAGGTTTCCCTGTTGTAATTCTACAAGATAAACCTTAATTCTGATAAAAGAAAGTTTCAGTTTTGCGAGGAAAAAAAACATTTCAACAAAATTGTTTTGAACAGTCGAACAAAACTTTACATTTTAAAACAAAAGCTGAACTTCTCAAATTTTACAACAAAAATTTTCTTTGACAGTTTGTTTTTAGAGAATTACTCAAATTTGATGAGGAAAAGATGATACCAGTTCAAATAATGAGGAAAAACAGAGTTTCCTGTGAAGATTTACTTTCAAATTTACATGTAGTAATTTTACGAGAATTACTTGTTGATAACTGACTTCCATTAAGTAGAAAAAAACCTCAACAATATGGTTAGTTTTATGAGATTTTTTTTTTATTTGACAAGAAGAAAAATATTTGTCTCAATCGTGAAATTTGCGAGGATTTTTTCTTGATAAAAATGTCCAAATAAGTCAGTAGTCATCTCGCATGTTTGTCTCTTTATATGTTTCAGTGTTTTGCTTAGTTTTTTTTTTTTTGTTGGTTTTGTAATTTTATGTATTATTGCTTTTTATTGACAGCGTGAAGGAGGAGGTGTTCTGGCGGAACTACTTCTACCGCGTGTCACTCATCAAGCAGTCGGCGCAGCTGACGGCGCTCGCGGCCCAGCAGAAGCAGCAGCAAAAGTCGAACGATGGTGAAGAGGATGCCGTCTCGCCCCGTGATGTCATCTTAACAGGTATATCGTTGACATGCATCGCATGACGCTCATTTGGATAGACGTGAATACTCATTGCTGCTCTATTGTCCCAACAGATAACGTCAGGCCCAAAACGCCGCCGGTTTCCATCAGCGACAAGCAAAAGGTAGTACGCAATGTGAAACGTAATTTCATTTGTAGATCACAGCCAATGTAAAGTTTAATATTTTTGTAGGTGTGTGTGTGTGTGTGTGTGTGTACAAACTAGTTTAAAGTTTCTGAGAAAAAAATGTTTCAGTATTGTGAGAAAATGTCCAAATATTATTAGAATTTTTTTTTTTAATGAATTAATAAAATCTTATGTTTTGCACAGGATGAAATTTTGCATTAGAAAGTTTTAAAAACTAATGAAACAAAAGATTGTTTTCCCAGATAATTTTTTTCACAGAAAAAAAACAATTTTACTGGAAAAAGTAAAACCTTTGATCTGGGTTTGGGTTGACTTTTTCGGGAGAAAAACTATTTACTTTTAGCCCCAAACTCATAAAAATCCTGTAAAGCTCAAGCACTTGATTTATGCATGCATGTGGTCCCTCAGCCCGCTCCAGAGGAAGACTTTTCCATCTCCACCAGTCCCGGTGTTTCCGAATTTGTGAGCGACGCCTTCGACTCTGCGGCCATCGACCACGAGGACTTGCAGAAGGGAATGGAGCAGCTGGTGCTCGACAAGAAGGACAGCACCGCCTCTGTTGACGGTTGGTCCTAAAAATGCTCTAAAATGGCTGGCAGTGAATGAGTGTTTGAATAGCACACACCAACGGGGCGGAATTAAATTATTTACAACGTATCACATTTAAAATTTTGTTTCCGATGTGCTCCACAGCCACTTAAAATAAAGAAACACCTTCCTAAACCAAAACCCCCCTCTTCCCATCAGGATAAAAACCGGTAATGATAAAGCGAAGGCACAATAAAACAGGTGAAATATATATTTGTGAAAATCATGGGGGAAATGGTCGAAAGTAATAATGGCTCCGAAATCAGATGAAATATTCATTCAGAGTATGTAAAAATGATGCACTGCACAGCCACACACGTCTTGTAGTAGTGGTACTATTGTTTCTAATGTGGCATTATCGTCTTTGTGGCAGAAGAGCAGTCGGACTGGGAGAAGGAGCTGCAGCAGGAGCTCCAGGAGTACGAGGTGGTAGCCGAGTCAGAAAACCGGGACGAGCAGTGGGTCCAGGAGATCGAGGAGATGCTGCAGGCGCACGACACCTAAAGCGTGCCACAGGTCGGCCATTGCTCTTGTTTATAAGCGGACGTTCAACCTTGAACTTTTCCCGGATGAAGGACGACCTGAGTGAGATGCCAAGAATGCTTTTGTCACCTTTGCTGGGAAATGAGTGGTAATGGCAGGGAAATGGCGCTAGGGGGCTCTCCAACGCAAACGCTATCAACTGAGTGACTAGCAGATTACATTTTTTTTCGTCACTTTTTTCCTTGTACAGTCAAAATGTATTAGT